CAGATTTCTTTATCTCCCGCCCCACTGCCCCACACCCACACGTCACTAATCAAGACAATGTTTTTTTCCTCTCTGCCCATATGGAAAACAAGTTGTCCCTGCCCCACCTCTTGATTTCTGCCTGCTCTATGGAGCCACCTATATCTTGAATCCAAGAGTCTATCTATGGGTGGGTGTGTTCTGTGGGTCTGTTTATCCTCCTCTGCATAGATATCACCTGTCTCAATGACTAAAGCTTCAAAAAGGTCTGATACCTGGTCGGCTGGTTTCCCACTTTGATCTGCCTGCAAACTGCAGTGCATTTAATCTCTGCATCTCTAGTTCCTGGCTCATGATGGTACTTAATGAACTTTTGTTGAATAGGTAATTTTCCCCCCTTAGTGTGTTATTTTCAGAATCTTTTTGGAGCTTTAGCACTTAATTTCTTTTCAGATAATTGTATATGTCAAAATCAAACTTCAGAATAAGAATTTGCTGAGCAGAGGGCGGCTCAAGCCTGTAGTCCCAGCACTTTGGGAGGCCGAGGCAGGTGGATCACGAGGTCAACAGATCGAGACCATCCTGGTCAACATGGTGAAACCCCGTCTCTACTAAAAATTACAAAAAATTAGCTGGGCATGGTGGCGCATGCCTTAATCCCAGCTACTCAGGAGGCTGAGGCAGGAGAATTGCCTGAACCCAGGGGGCGGAGGTTGCGGTGAGCCGAGATCGCGCCACTGCACTCCAGCCTGGGTAACGAGCAAAACTCCATCTCAAAAAAAAAAAAAGAAAGAAAGAAAGAAAGAATTTACTGAGCAGAACACCATTTAGTACTTTATATGGTAGGAAGGAGTAAAACCACTGGCTAAAGTAAAAAATTTTTGTGGGTGGGCACATTGGCTCATGCCTGTGATCTTAGCACATTGGGAGACTGAGGCAAGAGGATTGCTTGAGGCCATAAGTTCAAGACCAACCTGGCCAACATAGTGAGACCCCAGTCTCTAAAAAATAAAGTTTAAAAATTTTAAAAATTAGCCAGGCATGGTGGTGTGTGCCTGTAGTCCCAGCTACTTGAGAGACAGCAGGAGGATCCCCTTGAGCCCAGGAATTTGAGGCTGCAGTGGACTCTGATCCTGCCACTGCACTACAGCCTGGGCAACAGAATGAGACCCTGTCTCTGCAAGAAAGCAGAAACAGAAACTTTTTTTTCGTAGTGTATTTTCAGTATGTTGTCAAGGAAACTTACTGAGGAGAGCTATTTGCCATTGACAGTATTTGCTTTGAAGTGTGGCTACAAACTAAGGAGGCTTTCTTTCTTAAGCCTCATTATTGTAGTCTTAGTTCATATATTCATGGTTGAATGTGCAAAGCAGTAACACTTGCTAGATTTACTAATTAGTATTTCACATTGATTGAAATTTAGAAATTGAATGCTTATACTTTGTCAGTCAGAGGTTTCCTTTTCTTTGCTTTAGCTTTGAAATATTCCTGTAAAGATTTTTCTTTTGAACTGTAACTTAATTGGATGGCCCTAGTCAGCCTTCGAAGCAATGCTTAGGTTTATAATGGCTGGCAAACACTTTACCAGGAAGGAAGGGAAGAAAGACTATGTGTTGTTACTTATACAACAAGTCAGTGGAGAATTAACCCATTTTACTACTTTTTATTCTTTTTTTTTTTTTTTTGAGACGAAGTTTCGCTCTTATTACCCAGGTTGGAGTGTAATGGCACGATCTCGGCTCACCGCAACCTCTGCCTCCTGGGTTCAGGCAATTCTCCTCCTCAGCTTCCTGAGTAGCTGGGATTACAGGCACACGCCACCATGCCCAGCTAATTTTTTGTATTTTTAGTAGAGACAGGGTTTCACCATGTTGACCAGGATGGTCTCGATCTCTTGAACTCGTGATCCACCCGCCTCAGCCTCCCAAAGTGCTGGGATTACAGGCTTGAGCCACTGTGCCTGGCTTACTTTTTATTCTTGAATCTTTTTATAGTTAGATAAATATGACTTAAATGCCATTGTCTAGAGTCTTTGGAGGACTTTTTTTAAACCTTGTAATTTCAGTTAACATGCATGCTTATATTTGAGTTTATTTTCTTTTGATAAGGAATGTTTTAAAATGTAAGATAGGTCACAGTTATTGAAGAGAATGAGTGTGGCAGTAGTTTTATGATTTATTAATATACAACTAAGGATAACCTTCTGGAAGGTTACTCCATTGAGGTATAGACTCTGGGGGAAGAAGGTAGTAGCACTGACTCCCTTCAGGTTTAAAAAAATTACTGTCATCGACCAGGCTCGGTGGCTCACGCCTGTAATCCCAGGTGCTTGGGAGGCTGAGGCAGGAGAATCACTTGAACCCAGGAGGCGGAGGTTGCAGTGAGCCAAGATTGTGCTACTTCGCTCCAGCCTGGGTGACAGAGAGAGATTCTATCTCAAAAAAAAAAAAAAATTACTGTGATCACAAAACCAGTTTCACATAAAATTAGCCACTTTAAAGTGAAAAGTTCATTGGCATTTAGCAATCACTATTTCATATCTACTTTCTGAATACTTTCATCCTCCCCAGATAAAACTCTGTACTTGTTATGCAGTTGCTGCTCATTTTCCCCTTTTCCCCAGTTCCTGGTAACCACCAATCTGGTTTCTGTTTCTCTGGATTTGCTTATTCTGTGTATTTCATATACATGGAATCATACAATATGTGGCCTTTTGTGCCTGGCTTCCTTCACTTAGCATGTTTTCAGAGTTCATCCGTATTGTAGCATCTGTCAGTAACTCATTTATTTATTTGTTTATTTTATTTTACAGGAACTCATTTTTTAAATGGCTGAATAATATTCCATTGTATGTATAGGTCACATTTTGTTTATCCATTTATTGTTATTGGATATTTGAGTTGTTTCTACCTTTTGAATATTGTAAATAATGCTGCTGTGAATGTTTGTATGGAAGTATCTGTTTGAGTATTTGTTTTTAGTTCTTTTTAGCTATGTACTTAGCATTCGAGTTTCTAGATCTAATGGTAATTTTATGTTTAACTTACTGAGAAACAACCAAACTGTTTTCCACAGCTGAATGAACCATTTTCCATTCCTATCAGCATTGTCCAAGGATTCCAGTTTCTCTACATCCTTGCCAGCGCTTCTTGTGCTCTGTTGGTTTGGTTGATTGAAATATAGCTACCCTAGTGATTATGAAGTAGTATCTCATTTTGGTTTTGCTTTGCATTTCCCTAATGACTAATGATGTGGAGCATCTTTTCATGTGCTTGTTAGCCATTTGTATATCTTCTCTGTAGAAATGCTGTTTATCTTTTTGTTGTTTTAGGTACTGGACCAATATTAAATACATAATTTGCAGTTACTTTCTCCTATTCTGTAGGTTGTCTTTTCACTTTCCTGATTATGTCTTTTGTTACACAGAAATTTTTAATTTTAGTAAAGTCCATTTTATCTTGTTTACTGTTTTGTTGCTCATGCTTCATATCTAAGAATTGGGCGTATCCTCCCAAATTCAAGATCATGACAGTTTACCCCTATGTTTTTTTCTAAATGTGTTATAGTTTTAGCTCTTACATTTAGAGGTTGTTGGTCGATTTTGATTTTGTATGTGGTATGAGATAGTCCAATGAGAGGATTTTGGTTTTTTTTTTTTTTTTTTTTTTTTGAGTTGGGATTCTCACTCTGTGGCCTAGGCTGGAATGCAGTGGCTTGATTATAGCTCACTGCAGTCTCAAACTCCTGGGCTCAAGCAGTCCTCTCAAGTAACTGAGACCACAGGTGTGCACTGCTAAGCCTTACTTTTATGTATGTATATATATGTGTGTGTGTGTTTGTGTGGTTTTTTTTTTTTTTGGCAGAGACAAGGTCTTGTTATGTTGCCCAGGCTGGTCTTGACCTCGGGGGCTCAGGCAGTCCTCCTGCCTTGGCCTACCAAAGTGTTGGGATTATAGGTGTGAGCCACCACACCTGGGTCCTATAGTGTTTTTGAACTGAGTATATATACATACCAACCAAAAACTATTGTGGATTTTGTAGCATTTTAAATTATTTTGCATTGTATTAATCAAAGAGCTTATAAATATATTTGAAAAATAGTACTTGTAAGTTTAAGACAGTTGTTAAGTCCATGACCTATATATTAGTGACTGAATATGGATTCATGTATTTTCTTCCCATAACACCATGATCTCTGAATCTGCAGATCACAGATTTTGTAGATGAGCATTAGAAGAATCTCTGATGACAGGTAAAAGAGGGACTGAGGATGAAGGTAGAGATTCCAAGGGTCCATAGCTGCAGAGACCTCAAGAAAGAGGCTGGGAAGTCAGTAACTAGAAGGCAGTGGTGAAATCTATAAGGGCAAGAAAGAAAGTGGCATTTCATTTGAGACAACAAGGATGATTGCAGAGCTTGGTTTGGAGGCTCATGGGTCACCATCAGAAAGTAAAGGTTTAGGAAGCAGTTGAAGATTCCTTTAGTTTTGGATATAATGCCAACTCAACTCAGCCTCCAAACGGCCTCCAACTGACTGTGTTTAGCATCTTTCCTCCAGAGAGGGGTAAGTAAGGAAAAGGAACTAGGCAAGTTCTAGATTTTTTATGGTGGCAATCATGGCCACGGGCCTTTTGTCTAATGGCCAGCTTTTTCAGTGCTGACAGGCTCATCAGTGACAGTTGTCGTCTTCTTTTTTTTTTTTTTTAAGTCTTTTTGTCACCTTGTCAGGTCTGTGTGCAGAGGGCTCTAGCAAAAGGAAGAAAGGGGATAGATAGGGCAGGTGATTGAGCATCTGAGGGGAGTGTAGAGATAATGGTCTTCAGATGCCCTTCTACTTTTACTGGCTGATTGCTTGCTTTTCAGATAGAAACGAAAGCTACTTTACAAGAAGTGATTTGGGAAGGCATAAACAAAGAGGGGGTTAGGGTTACTTTGATGTTTGTGGTGTTTAAACTCTGAATTTGTGTGGATATGTCTTTTTTGAATTTTTAACCCACCATGAAACCTCTGTGATTTAACAGGTGCTACTCGTGAGTAGTAGTCGCCATCCAGACAGATGGATTGTCCCTGGAGGAGGCATGGAGCCCGAGGAGGAGCCAAGTGTGGCAGCAGTTCGTGAAGTCTGTGAGGAGGTATGCACGGAGAAGAGACAGCACAGCTGTGCCTCATAATCATGAACCCATACAATCACAGAAAAAGGGCAATGAGTGGTTACCCAGTGCCTTCTTTATTACCAGGTGATGGAGTTGTGACATGGTAATATTAACCAGGCACTCTGTGCCAAACCGTTTTTTGTGACTTCCCATGGATTTCTTCCAACACCGCCTGTTACCTGTGGCACAGAATCAAGAAGCAAATAGTTCCTCACCTCTAAGGAATAAGAGGAACAGGCAGCATTAGTATAAATGACTCATTGTCATTAAGTTTTGGAGGAGGTGCTTCCTGTATCCTAGCCATGGAACTGTGGCTAAAGAAATGATTCTGTTAGCCAGGTACTGTTAATGGTACAACTTGAGAGATAATAGTATCTTCTTTTTTATTTAGTCACATGATGTTCCACATGTGTGTTGTGTGTTGAGTTCCTGGGCCATGATATGCTACTATATACTCCAGAATAAATAGAAGAAGTAAAGTCATGGACCCTTAGTTCTCTTATTTCAAGAATTTACAGTCTGGGGGAAACTGAGAAACAGATTGCAACTCAAAACCCAGAGAAATGAACTAATGTTTTTCCATACCCTCTTCTGGTGATACCATGCTCCGCTCTTGTTATCTCATTTAGGGCTCCTAACTTGGTTGTATAAGCTTTATTGCCCCAGTTTACTCACCCTGGCCACATAGGTAGTGCTTTTGAAATCCATTTCCTTGTTCTAGAGGGAATTTAAGATTGATTCTAAGAACATACAAAAAAGCACTTACGAAAAATACAAGTCTAATTCCTGTGTTTCTTTTGGATCCAGCTTTTGGTGAAGGGCTATTAGAATAATCTTGGAATATCCAAGGAATTCTTTCCTTGCTCTGAATTCCTACACTTACATTGGCTTATTTCACTCTCATTGTAACATCTGTCTTCTACCCATAACTAGATTATTCTCTCTGAGGGCAAAAATCATGTTTCCCATCAAAAATACCTATTTTACTTGCCTAGTACACAGCTAGGTGAACAGAAAGTAATTAATACATGTTTCTTTGATAGATGGAACAGTAGTTGGAACAATGCAGATGCTGAAGAAATACCCTAGATGGAAATTATGAGAGTGTAGATAGTGATAAACATTGAGAAGAGGATGTGAGAACGCATTCTTACAGTGGAAGACTAACCCGGGTAGAACCAAATGGAGTCAAGAGGGAGGGGGTGTAGTGAAAACAACATTGACTCAGGAACCCTGGTTTCTATTAGTGTCAGTTAATAGCTGTGTGACCTGTGAGAAAATAACCTTAAACACCCTAGACCTTTTGTCCTTCATTTGATTTATCTTCCTGTTTACTCCATCATGGAGGGAGTGGAGGGGAATATGAGGTTCAAATGAGAATGTGAGTGTGAATGTCCTTTGTGAATTATGTATCACGCTACCAGTTAGGATGTGTGCAGCTGAAAATAATATTATGCCAGTTACTGTTTGGGAACAGGTTTATATCACATAACAAGAAGTCCCAGGTTCGCTGACGCAGCAGTATTTAGAGCCCAGGTGCTTCCTTTCTTTCTATTCTGCCATCCTTTGTACATTGTGACAGAGACTATATGGGCTGTATCATAAATTTTTTCTCACTCGGAAATTATATATTATATATCCGTTCTTTTTTGGAGTAAATATATATTGGCACATTCCAATATAAGTTAAATTTCTAACAAACATTTAATCCTCTCTTATTGGCCATGCTTTTCAATTACTTTTAATTAAAGTCTAAGAGGTTTCTCAAAGTCATATCCTAGATGGTGAAGGCTCTAGTAGTTTAAACATGGAACTGACATTCCCTTTGCCAGGAAAGTAGTTTAAACATGGAACTGACATTCCCTTTGCCAGGAAGTTTAATCATAGCTTATTTACGTTGAACCATAGCCTCTTGTGACAGCATGCTCTGCTTTGCTTGTTATCTCATTTAGGACTCATAACTCAGTTGTATAAGCTTTATTGCCCCAGTTTACTTGCATATGTTTAAGTTGAGCCATAGCCTCTTGTGGTGACACCATGCTCTTTGATGGGAAAGGTGATTTTTGCCTTCAGAGAGAATAATCAAGTTATGGGTATAAGACAGATACTACAATGAGAGTGATATAAGCCATTGTAAGTATAGGAATTCAGAAATGAGGAAATAATTCCTTGGATATTCCAAGGGTAAGATTATTCTAAATATAAGTTTAAGCATAAGCAGTGTATAGGGTACATTTACTTTTGTTTGCGGGCTTGTCTCCTTGTGGTGACAAGATGGCTCTCACAGCTCTATCCTTACACATTCTTTTCAAATGCAGGACACACAGTTTTACCTCCTGGGTTTCTCTTTATTTGAGAGAAAAGAAACTCTCCCCAGAAAGTCCCCCAGCAGACTCTTTATGTCAGTGTTCCAGAGTTGCTTTGCATGCTTATGATTAAACTTCCTGGCAAAGGGAATGTCAGTTCTGTGTTTAAACTACTAGAGCCTTCGCCATCTAGGATTTGGCTTTGAGAAACCTCTTAGACTTTAATTTAAAGCAATTGAAAAGCATGGCCAATAAGAGAAGATAAAATGTTTATTTTGTTAGAAATTTAATTTAGATTGGAATGTGTTAACATATGTTTACTCTAAAAAACAATGGATAAATAATATATAATTTTAGAGTGAGAAAAATTTATTATACAGGCCATACAGTTTCTGTCACAACTATTTAACTCTACCATTGTAGGACAAAAGTAGCCATAAACGGTACAACACGTAACCATATGGGCCTGTGTTCCAGTGAAGCCTTATCTCTAAAAACTCTCGTGAACCATAGGTAATCCCTGTTTTAAGCTCTTGCTACTCACAATGTGGTTGGTGCACCAGCAACATCAGCATCAGCCAGGCTTGTTAGAAATGGAAAATCTCTGACCCCAACCCAGGTATACTGTATCAGAATCTGATTCTAACAGGACCTTGGGTGATTTTGAGAGCTTACTGCATTAGAGTATTGAAGTCTTACCAATGAGTGTTCTGAAAATTCCTCCTGATGGAGCTGTGGAGCGAAATGCTCTTTGAGGGTTAGACTGTGGTTTGGCGGTCTCCACACCCCTTCCAATACTCTTCTCACATGGAGAGACTGGAAAGCTAAAAAGCACTTTTCCTAGACTCATGTAAGGAATGCAACTAAGTCTCCTTGATGGTACTCAGATATCCCCAATACAAAGCACTTATACAAGATTGCTTTAGTCACAAGGAGGGCATGTTCTGAGAGCAGCAGGCCCATCTGTTTTGGTGGCACACGTTTAGACAAAGGAGATACGGCTTTGGCATTGGCAGTCATAGTGTCAACTTCCTGATTTGGCTGGTGGCTTTTATTTGGCAGCTTCCTGATCCATCCCAGAAGTAGCAACTCCCTTGGCAGTCCAGTTCTGCAATGTGGTTTTGAGAATTGTTCTTGGAACCTTGGCCTGTGTTTCTTGAGTTCTCCTAGTGATTCTGTAAACTGTTTGTATCCCTTAATAAATCACTCTCTTAAACTAATCGGGTTGGATTCTGTTGTCTGCAATTAAGAATCTTGACCCATCCAGATTCCCTGTGAATGATAACAGTTGCTTTAGTTGCATCTGACTTTCTCTTCTGCTTGGCTGGGCTAACCCATCAAGGAATTGAGATGTCTTTGCAAAGCATTCCCCTCTAAGGAAGAGTGTCCAGTGGCCCATGAGAGAGCTGTCTGATCTACAGTGTGTCAGTAGTTTAATCAGGCAGATCTGATTCTGTGGGAAAGTGAAGCTGTGGCAGAATCCAGTTCAGAATCTGCACCTTCCTCATAGCTGTTTACTGATTTAATGTTATCTGTCTATTCAAAAAATACCGAGTGCCCATCTATCTTGCACAAAACACCGGGCCACAAGTTGAGGATACAGAAATTTGGGTTTTGCCATCATCACATGAGCTTAACATCTCACTGAGAATACAGATTTAATAGGAAACTATAATTTGAAAATTAAACTTTGAGGGAACAGTTTGTATAGCATGCTAGGGGACTTGTTGGCAGAGTAACCAGCCAACTCTGGCACAAAGATTGGCTCCTAGGAGAATGTCTGGATGGTTATAGACCTGCTCATTTAAGATTGTCCCATTTTGGAGGGACTTTGGGGATGCAGTAGGTAGTGTAATGGTGGTCTTATATATGATATCCCCACATAAGGGAGATTAGATAGAGGAGGGATGAAGTAGCTGGTGAGCTTTTCTTTACTGTGAAGCAGAATTGGGTTCCCACTTTACTGTTGGACCTGTGTTAATGGGGAATTAGAAGGATGTAGACACGTCCTGAAGGGCAGGTAGGATTTTGTACTTTGCACCCCTAGGCCTAAGAGCACCAGAACCTTTGCCTGGCTCTTTCTGTAGGAACTCAAAGTTTGACTGTTCAAATAAGTGTGGTAGGGCCAGTTGGTGGCCCTAAACTGAATAATTCAGATTTAAATCCAGTTGGCCTCTGTAGCTTCTAAGGTGCTTAAGGCAAAAACGGTGTTTGAGACTGGCCATGCAGTTGTGGATTCAGACAGATTGTTACAAGACCTGAAATTGAGTGATGATTATAGAGTAGAGAGAGAGGAAAAAGTTCAAAGACCTTGTGCAAAGACTTGATACTTGGCTTTGGGAGTTGTGGTTGGAATATCTCTGGCAGTTCTACTTTTGTAGAGCACATTTGGATTTGCTGTCTGATTCAGGAAAGCTGACCTTATTTGTTGTCACTGTTGCTGTTCTGTTTTTGAGTGTTACAGTTGAGTTATTCCTGGATTATACAAGTGCAGCTAAGATGTAGAAAACCAGATGTTTACAACAGAAAATGCATTGAGGGAGTAGGAAGGATATAGGTTACTGTGCTTACCTTTTGTTTCCTGAAAATTGCATACTATCCTTCTGTAGGTAAAAGGGAGAATAGCATGAAATAGGAATCAAGTGCTCATGAAGCAAGGAAGTGAAAGATGCAGCACAGATAATTAAACTACACTCCTCATATGCTTAGTATCTTACCTAGTAGCTCCTCTCGAAGGAATCCTGATCTTGAAACTTTATTCTGTCAATAATACTGGAATAAAGTATGGGATCTGATGATACGATTCTTTGACTGCAGGCAAGCTCTGCCTGACATTCTCAGCCTTAAAGAATCCTTCCTGACTTTGAGCAAGTATTTTTTCTGTAGTCAGAGGAGAATCATATCATCATATCCCATATTTTATTCCAGCATTATTGAGAGGATAACGAAATGTTTGTGAGCTGCTTTGAACATTAGAGTAAGTATTCAAATAAATAAAATGTACAAACAATAAAAATAAGAGAACATATCATTACAAAAACAGAAACAGTTCAGTGGCTTCCATCAAAACAGAATGAAAGAAGTGGTTTTTCCAGTTTTATAAACAGAGAATAGACTTGAAATCAGAGACTTGAAATGCTGATAGATGTTTTTTATTGTCCTTGAAGGGAAGCCTTTGTAAATAAAGCACTATTTAGAGGTTTATTTCGTTTTCAAGATGTTTATGCTTTCAGATCTGATTTTTTATTTGTAAATGTAGGAGATTTTAATAGCCACTTTTTGAAGGGTTTTGTGGATAATAACCTCTACACCAATTAATTGAAAACCTTCGGTTTTTTCAAATTGCAGTTATAAATTTAGTATGTTTTGTTTTTAAAGAATTTCAGTTGTCCTGCTTAAAAAAAAAGCCTTATAAAGCTCTTCAGTAAAAAAAAGTCTTGTGGAAAACTACTACAAGAAAACACAGGGGGAAGCACTTTAGAACATTGGTCTGGACAAAGATTTTATAGGTAAAACCTCAAAAGCACAGATAACAAAAGCAAATACAGACAGATGGGATTGTACCAAACTAAAAACCTTCACTGCAAAGGAAACAATCAACAGTGAAGAGACAGTCTACAGAATGGGAGAAGATATATGCAAACTATTCATTCAACAAGGGATTACTATTCAGTATATACAAAGAACTCAACTGCAAAAAAAGAATCCAGTATTAAAATAGGCAAATGATGTGAATAGACATTTATCAAAAGACAAAAAATGACCAATGAATACATTGAACAGGGCAGGGATTAGAGGCATCAACACCTACCCCCAGACTCCTCTACCCTACTCAAAAATGTGTATATAACCTTTTTTTTTTTTTTTGAGATGGAGTCTCACTCTGTCATCCAGGCTGGAGTGCTTGGCTCATTGCAACCTCCACCTCTGGAGTTCAAGCTACCTGCCTCCTGAATAGCTGGGATTACAGGTGAGCACCACCGTGCCCAGCTGATTTTTGTATTTTTAATATAGACGGTGTTTCACCATGTTAGCCAAGCTGGTCTGGAACTCCTGACCTCAGGTGATCTGCCCGCTGCGGTCTCCCAAAGTTCTGGGATTACAGGGGTGAGCCACTGTGCCTGGCCTAACAATTGTGTATTTTCAGATAGCTACAAGTAATGATTTTGAATGTTCCCAAGACAAAGAAATATTTGAGATGATGGTTATGCTAATTACCTTGCTTTATTGTCATTTGTTTGTTTTGAGACAATCTTGCTTTGTTACCCAGTCTGGAGTGCAATGGCACAATTATGGCTCACTGCAGCCTCTGTCTCCTGGGCTCAGATGATCCTTCCATCTTAGCCTCCTGAGTAGCTGGGGCTCCAGGTACAAGCCCTGCTAATTTTTATAGAGGCAGGATTTCACCATGTTGCTGAGGCTGGTCTCAAACCCCTGGGCTCAAGCTGTTTGCCCACCTTGGCCTCCCAAAGTGCTGGGATTACAGCCACATTATGCCCGACCAGATTTAGCATTATATATTAGATACATGTAGCAAATTGTGACTGCACTCCATAAATACGTGCAATTACTATGTGTCAGTTAAAATTAATAATAAAAATATTTACAGCCAGGCCTGGTGGTGTGGGCCTGTAGTCCCAGCTACTGGGGAGACTGAGGCAAGAGAATCACTTGAGCCCAGGAGTTCAAGACCAGCCAGAGCAACATAGCAAAACCCCATCTTAAAAAACAAAAAGAAAAACAAAGCACAGCCTTTTCAAAGAAATATAAAATTTTATAAAACACAGGAAAACACCTTTTTTTAAACAAACTCCTGTAAATCTCATACATTACACGTAGAAATAAGATGTTTTAGAGTATTTAAATATTCCCATGCTGTATATAAGCTTATTAAGATTTTTGACTTCAAATCATGCCAGAAATAAATTATTCAACTATATTTTTAAAATTTGAGGCCAAAGGCTTCCAGCCTAATAGGTGACATTCTTCTAAGCATTTCAAAATCTTAGAATCTGTCTAGTCTCCTTAACACAAAAATATTATGTGGTAATAAACATTATAATATTTAAGGTTAAAATATTATAAATTATAAAATACTTATTATTTTAATTACCTTAAACATTTTTATATTTAATTCTAAGTATTTCTAGAATTGAAAGATGCTTACCTGCTAAAAAGACTGAGCTTTCCTTTTAAATGAGACCACGCCTCTTAGGTGACCTGACCGGATACACTGACCCTGTTCACTTTTGCTTCATCATGACTCCATAACTTCATAAGGCTGGGGGTCATTGAGTTCACACACCATGAATCAGCATAGCTAATTTATTGCATCAACGTGAAGGTCACTTTGCTCATGAAATCTTTGTGATTCCTCCCAGTAGGTTCACTGATGCTGTATGTTTCCATTGCAGTCTGTACTTACAGCACTGTTGTATTGTTCATGCTTTATTGATGTTGCTTGTTTAATTATCTGTCTTTTGGGCTAGACTTTATACTCTGTATAGTCAGGTACCATTCTTTCTTTCTTTCTTTTTAGAGACAGTTTCTTGCTCTGTCACCCAGGCTGGAATGCAGTGATGTGATCGTAGCTAACTGTAACCTCAAACTCCTGAGCTCCAGCAGTCTTCCTGCCTCAGCCCCCTGAGTAGCTGGGACTACAGGTGCATGCCACCGTGCCTGGCTAATTTATTGTTATTATTTATTAGAGACAGGGCCTTGCTATGTTGCCCTGGCTAGTCTCCTAGCTTCCAGCCCCTCCTGCCTCAGCTCCCAAAGTGCTGGGATTACAGGTGTGAGCCATTATACCTGGTCCCCATTTTTTCTTTTTTGAGATAAGAGTTTCACTTTCGTCACCCCTGCTGGAGTGCAATGGCAGGATCTTGGCTCACTGAAACCTTTGCCTCCTGGATTCAAGTGATTCTCCTGCCTCAGCCTCCCGAGTAGCTGGGATTATAGGCATACACCACCATGCCCGGCTAATTTTGTATTTTTAGTAGAGACAGGGTTTCACGACGTTGGTCAGGCTGGTCTCAAACTCCTGATCTCAGGTGATCCACACGCCTCAGCCTCCCAAAGTGCTGAGATTACAGGAATGAGCCACCGCGCCCGGCCCCATTTTTTCTTGCGCATCGTTGAATCTCCAGTGCTCAACACATATCTCATGTGCTTAATAGAATGCTGCAATTATTGGCTTAACTATGAAAACAGCTACAGAAATGCAACTGCAGCAGGCCCTTTTAGGTTGTCAGAAATAGACATATTCTCCAAATGCCTTAGTTAAGTGAGAAAGAACATGACATCGTCACAGCAACTGCCCAGCCAAGGCTGTACAAAGCTGGAAACTTAGGTCAGAGTGCACAGGCAGGCATCACTCGTAGCAGGTGGAACAACAGTGGAAATGCAGAGTTGTTCAAGAAGCCTGGTCACACACCAGTGGCTCCTCCCCTCTCTTCCACTGTGGAGGACCTGCCTGTCTCATCTCTTCTCAGCCTCCTAGCCTACTGCTTTTGTTTTGTGTTTTTCCTCTCTTATGCAAAACTTTAACCTGTCTGTTGATTCTGTCTCACATTCAGCCTTCCCAAGAGAGGACCTGATTGGTTTTGCCTAGTGACAACTTCACATAGTATGCCCCTTTGGGCAGAGCTGCCAGGCCACATCATCAACTTCTGGCCATTTTGAAAATGTCTACCTTACCTTTGCATCAGTTGCTAATTTTTAATTCTCTTAGCTGTGCTCAGAGTGGTGAAGCCACATGCTATAAAAGCATGACAACCCATGGTCAAGTACCATCTACAGCAGATTTTCAAGGGTCCTGTGTATGTAGTAGGATTATCTACAATTTATAGGAGAAAAAAGGCTGAGGTTGAGTGATTTGCCACAACAAGTTGTGTTCAGCCTAGTGTACTCAAGGTAAGATTTGAGTCCAGGACGTCTTTCATCCCTTGACACTCCTAATGCTATGCTCCTTGAACGATGTCCACCAAAATGTTTGCAGTGGTTATCTTTGTGTTAGTTTATAGATTATCAAGTTCTCTGCATTGAGCATATGTTTCTTTTGTTACTAGAAAAAGTTTCTATATAAACATGAAAGGATTGAGATTATTGAGTAGTTTGTCATGGCATTGTCAGTCCCAGGTCTTACTAAACTCCACCTGTTCTAAAACTTTGTGCAGCCTAGCTTAAAATTTTTAGCATATTGGCTGAATTTCAGAAACAGCTAAGTTTGAGCCATTAGCAACCACATTTAAGGGGAAGGCTAAAATATTCCCTTTTGCAAATTAGCCTCCATCTTTTTTAGTTGCTTGTGGTTAAAATCCTATTAGAGTGACCCCTTACAGGGTTAGGGGAACAGGCTTGCTCCCATGGCCTGCCATGAGCTTTAGTAACAGTGCCTCTTTAGACTAGGGCAGCAAAGGCTGTGTGAGCCAGCCATGTGATAGTCTCTCTGTAGTAAAGAAAAGCACCTCTTTTGTATGATCTCAGAGCTATTCTTTTTTGCTAATTCAGTGAGAAAGGTAAAACTCTTGACTGATGGGAAGAAAGAGAAGCTGGGTCTGAAACTGTTCTGTCTTCTGTTTATCTTACATTCCCATTTCCTTTACCTCTTCTCACCTCAGCCATCCCAAGAGTATTATCACAAAAATACAGAACATCCGCCAGGAGGAAGAGGAGGGATTGCTCTTACTGTCTCAGGGGCTGCTTCAGAGGTAGAAGTGAAGGAGGTAAAATAAGAAGCAGGAGATGCAGGCACACTCAGATGGTGTAACTTTTACTGGAAAAAAAAACAGGTGAAAATTATATGCCTAAAGGATAGCCATTCCTTGGTATCCATTCATTGATATTGGCTTCAGGACCCCTGGCGGATATAAAAATCTTTAGATGCTCAAGTCCCTTATATAAAGTGACAAAGTATTTGCATATAACCTACCCATATCCTCCCATATACATGAGATCATCTTTAGGTTACTTATAATACCTCATGCAATGTAAATGCTATGTAAACCCTTAAACAACAAGGAGTTGTGAACTGCATGAGTCTGGGTCCACTTATATGTGAATTTTCTTCTGAAGTTACACCATTACACTGAGTGTGCCTGCCTCTCCTGCTTCCTTTTTTACCTCATTCACTTTTACCTCTGAGGTGGCCCTGAGACAGCAAGAGCAATCCCTCCTCTTCTTCCTCTTCTTCCTTAGCCTATTCAACATGAAGATGACGAAGATAAAAACCTTTACCAGGCTCCACTTCCACTTAATAGTAAACATATTTTCTCTTCCTTATGGTTTTCTTAATAACATTTTCTTTTTCCAGCTTTATTATTATAAGAATGTAGTAAATAATATATACAACATATAAAATATATGTTAATCAACTGTTATTGGTAAGGCTTCTGGTCAGTACTATACTATTAGTAGTTAAGTTTTGGGGGAGTCAAAAGTTATATATTTACTGGACATAGTGGCTTACACCTGTAGTTGCTGCACGTTTGGGAGGCTGAGGCAGGAGGATTGCTAGAGGCCAGGAGTTTGAGAACAGCCTGGGCAACATAGGGAGACCCTGTCTCTCCAAAAAAGAAAAATTAGTTGGGCATGTTGACACACACCTGTAATCCCAGCTATTTGGGAGGCTTAGGAGGGAGGATTGCTTGAGCCCAGCGTCAAGGCTGCAGTGATCCCAGTGAGCCATGATTGCCCCAGTGCATTCCAGCCTGGGTGACAGATCAAGACCCTGTTTGTCTGTTAACAACAACAAAAAAGTATACACAGATATACTTTTGACTCAATGGGAGTTGGCGCCCTACCCCTGCATTGTTCAAGGATCAACTGTAGTTATACTGTATTGTTTAGGAAATACAAGGGAACAAAGTCAGTGTTCAGTACAGATACAATTTTTTTTTAATTGTCAATCTGCAGTTGGTTGAATTCATTGATGTGTAGTGCACAAATACGGGGGGCCAACTGTACTTGTAGTCAGCCTGATAGTTAGCTTGTGACATAGCCATTGCTTTTTTTTTTTTTTTTTTTTTTTTTTTTTTGAGACGGAGTTTCGCTTTTGTTATCCAGGCTGGAGTGCAATGGCGCGATCTCGGCTCACCGCAACCTCTGCTTCCTGGGTTCAGGCAATTCTCCTGCCTCAGCCTCCTGAGTAGCTGGGATTACAGGCAGGCGCCACCGTGCCCAGCTAATTTTTTATATTTTTGGTAGAGACGGGATTTCACCATGTTGACCAGAATGGTCTCGATCTCTTGACCTCGTGATCCACCCGCCTCGGCCTTCCAAAGTGCTGGGATTACAAGTTTGAGCCACCACGCCCGGCCTAGCCATTGCTTTTTTAAAACATGTGTTTAGTTCTCTGTGACTTCGTCACTTACATCCTAATAGTACTTCTTTGCTACTCCTCTGGCTCATACCGCCTATTTATTGCTTTGCCATTTAATCAACCCATCTTCAGGGGGTTTTCTGCCCTCCCTCAAGTCTTTGTACAAGTTATGTACATACAGTGTCATACAGAAAATAAAAATTGCACAGCATGTTTGACTTAATTAACCTGCATTAAAGAAAGTTTGTAAAAGAAAAAAAGAAAAATCCAGCAGGTCATGGACAACTTAAAAAAAAAAAGGTTGAAAGTCTAAATGCCTTAATGCAGAATAAATGAGGTTACCCTCCTAATGGCACCTCAGGAGTTCAGAGCTGCTCGATTGTCTGGCCTTGTTAATCTGTCTTTGGCAGTCTATCAAGAAGTAGGCCAGGCACAGTGCTGACACCTATAATCCCACCACTTTAGGTGGCTGAGGTGGGCAGATCACTTGAGGTTATGAGTTTGAGGGAGGTGTGGCCAATATAGTGAAACCCTGTCTCTAATAAAAATACAAAAATTAGCTGGGTATGGTAACGCATGCCTGTAGTCCCAGCTACTTGGGAGGCTGAGGCAGGAGAATCACTTGAACCTGGGAATCAGAGGTTGCAGTGAGCCGAGATCACCCCATTGCACTCTAGCCTGGCTGTCATAGCGAGACTCCATCTCAAAAAAAAAAAAGCAAAAAAAGTTGTTTTAACTCATCTTGATCTCATTTGTATTTTCTTTCTTTCTTTTTTTTTTTGACACAATCTTGCTCTGTTGCTTAGGCTGGAATATAGTGGCGCGATCTCAGCTCACTGCCACTTCCACCTCCGTAGCTTGAGTGATCCTCCTACCTTGGCCTCCCGAGTAGCTGGGACTACAAGTAAGCATGCACCACCACACCTGGCTAATTTTTGTATTTTTTGGAGAGACGGGGTTCCACCATGGTGCCCAGACTGGTGTCTTCAGTCCTTAGTTCAATCAATCTGCCTACCTTGGCCTCCAAAAGTACTAGGATTATAGGCATGAGCCACCGCGCCCAGCACCATTTGTTTTTTCTAATAAGAACATGGAAAATGCCATAGTGAACTTTATTTCAAAAATACATATCTTTGTTTTTTTTTTTTTTTTGAGACGGAGTTTCGCTCTTGTTACTCAGGCTGGAGTGCAATGGCGCGATCTCAGCTCACTGAAACCTCCACCTCCTGGGTTCAGGCAATTCTCCTGCCTCAGCCTCCTGAGTAGCTAGGATTACAGGCATGCGCCACCATGCCCAGCTAATTTTCTGTATTTTTAGTAGAGACGGGGTTTCACTATGTTGACCAGGATGGTCTCGATTGACCTAGTGACCCACCCGCCTCGGCCTCCCAAAGTGCTGGGATTATAGGCTTGAGCCACCGCGCCCGGCCAAAAATATGTATCTTCTTATCCTAATTCCTGTACCATGCATTCTGTCCCTACGCGCGCACGAACGCGCACACACACCCCCCATAGCAACCAGAAGACTCCGTATGGTATCTCAGAACAGTCTCTAACATGAAAGCAGAATTTTATGTTTTATATTATACAAGAGTAGAACATTTAAAAAGTCTGTGACTGCTTGAGAGTAATTTAAGATATTCTTTGTCATCCCTTTTTTAGTTCATAAATGTTTGGCTCTGTTTGGAGTGGGGGAAAAAGTGAAGGCACAGTGTGACTGTGTTATATTTTCATCTGTACCTTTTACCCAGCCTGTGAGCAGTTGTGAATAGACAGTTGAGAGGGTAGGTTTTCATAGGATTTATCAGAGAAATAACATATGTTTTAAAAATCCAGAACTTTAATCACAAAATATATATCATTTAGTAGCAAAACTTTGTGAATAATATATTAAGGATACTTTTGATCATTTCAACATAAGTAAAGCAGTTTGGGGAATTTTGAGGAAGTAATATTGTAGATCAGGGATCTCCAGCTCATAAACTTGTCAGGAAGGGGACAGGCAGTTGACAGTGAGTACACCTCTGACAAGGTGGGTACAGCTGTAGTCATGGCTACTTGGGAGGCTGATGAGGGAGGGTTGATTGCTTGAGCCTAACATCAAGGCTGCAGTGAGCCATGGTTGCACCAGTGCATTCTAGCCTGGATTACAGATCAAGTTCCTATTTGTTAATAAAAAGTATATACAGGTGTTCTAATTAGGAAAATATACAATCCTCTTTGTACTTTACATCTTTTCATTCTACTAGGAACATGTATTAATCAAAAAAGGTAAGCTATAGTGGGCACTAGCTTAATTAAGTGATCAGACTTGGTTATACTAATACACTAATGGCAGTTAAGTCCCAGTATATATACATATATCAAAATATGTTGTACACCATAAATGTATACAATTTTTTATTTTTTTGAGATGGTGTCTCACTGTTGCCCAGGCTGGAGCATAATGACGTGATCTTGGCTCACTGCAACCTCTGCCTCCTGCGTTCAAGCGATTCTCCTGCCTCAGCCTCTCAGGTAGCTGGGACTACAGGTGTGTGCCACTACGCCCAGCTGACTTCCTGTATTTTTAGTACAGACAGGGTTTTACTCTGTTAGCCAGGTTGGTCTCCATCTTCTAACCTCGTGATCTGCCCACCTCGGCCTCCCAAAGTGCTGGGGTTATAGGCATGAGCCACCACGCCCAGCCTACAATTGGTATTTGTCAGTTAGACCCAAATAAAGCTGGGGATGGGGGAAGACCCCGTGTGATCAGATCCTCTGATGTTTCAAGAGAAGCTTGAAAGTTGGATTCTCGTCCAGGTGCGGTGGCTCACACCTGTAATCCAAGCACTTTGGGAAACCAAGGTGGGTAGATCACCTGAGGTCAGGAGTTTGACCTGGCCAACATGGTGAAACCCTGTCTCTACTAAAAATAACGAAAATTAGCTGGGCGTGGTGGTGAGTGCCTGTAATCCCAGCTACTCGGGAGACTGAGGCAGGAGAATTGCTTGAACTTAGGAGACAGAGGTTGTAGTTAGCCGAGATGACACCACTGCACTCCAGCCTGGGTGACAGGGCAAGTCTCAAAAATAAAAAAGGAAAGAACGCTGGATTCTCATGTAAGATCTTCTGATCTTTCAATGTGGGCAACTAATTTTAAGAAATGGCTTTTTTAAATGTCAGAGTAATATCTGCATATGAATTAAAAAGACAGCAACAGTAGTAGTACTGAAAGGCTCATAGTGAAAAACAACCGAAGTATGTGTTAATTGAATGAGCTGTGTTCTGGATTTTAACTATTTTAAACTGTAAATTGATAAACTCCAATCTCTTAGAAGATAATTTTTGCTTTTTAGTCTCCTAAAGCAAATAAAAGTTTCTAACCTTAGGAATATTTTACTGTTAAAATATTAAAATTAGAAAGTGTATCTAGATGCAAATTGCTATAAATCAGGAGAGACAATGAGTTAGCCCTGTTTCTTTAAAAGCAGGCTTTATTTAGATGGCATTTTCTGAATTTCCATTATTTAATTTTTAAAGAATTCTAAATCACATGAATATGAATTTCTCATTACAGTGTACATGTCTGGCCTATGGCTTTATCTTTAAAATCAGTACTAAAATAGGCAAATAATTTTTCTAATGTTTGATAGTTGTCAAAATAAAAAGTTGGAGAGAAAATAAGCATAAATACTTATTATATACCAGCTGTATTCAAGATCCTGAGCTGGAAGCTCCAAAGGACGGTAATGTGGTAGATGCTACTTTCCCTAAGACAAATTGTGTATTTGTCAGCGCTGCCATGTCTGTCATACTACCGTGCTTTTACTTTTACTTGGTAAGAAGACAGATACTTTTAGTTCCTTTGTTCACAGCACTGTCATATATAATAATCATCATGTCTTAGTTCATTATATGTGAGAATTTTATTCTGATAATTTATTCTTTTAAAGGATTTAGTGGGAAATGTGGCTCCATAATAAAAATTTCAGGAAAGCCTTTGTTCACCTAACATGGACATATATTTTTGTGTGAGGAATTTGTTGTTGTTTTTTTTTTGAAACAGAGTCACACTGTCACCCAGGCTGGAGCGCAGTGGTGCACTGTCAGCTCACTGCAGCCTCCACCTCCCAGGTTCAAGCGATTCTCCTGCTTCAGCCTCCATAGTAGCTGGGATTTCAGGCGCGTGGCACCACACCTGGCTAATTTTTGTATTTTTAGTAGAGACGGGTTTCACCATGTTGGTCAGGTCGGTCATGAACTTCTGAACTTGCAATCCGCCCACGTCGGCCTCCCAAAATGCTGGGATTACAGGCTTGAGCCGCTGCACCTGGCTGCGAGAAAGTATTTTTATTCTGCCCTCCTAGGAAAACTTATACAAAGAAATATAGCAAAAGAAGTTAAAAGCTTATTCTTAGAATTTTGGCTAAATGCAGTGGCTCACGCCTGTAATCCCAGCACTTTGAGAAGTCATGGTGGGAGGATCGCTTGAGCCCAGGAGTTCGAGACCAGCGTAGGCAACAAAGGGAGACCTTGTCTCTACAAAAAAATGTTAAAAATGGGCTGCACATGGTGGCATGCACCTATAGTTCCAGCTACTCAGGAAGCTGAGGAGGGAGGATCCCTTAAGCCCAGGAGTTTGAGGCTGCAGCAAGCTGTAGGCAACAGGTCAAGACCCTGTCTCTTGAAAAAAGAAAGAAAGAAAGAAAAAATAATTGACTATATATAAAGTGATTAGAGAAAGCATATCATATTTTTTTCTTTATTTTTCATTTTTTTTCTTTTTTTAATCTTTTTTTATTTGCTTTTTCTTGCACATCATATTTTAATGTAGAAGGTGGTGTGACGCAGTTTTACATTAGAGAATGTAATTTTTTACATTAGACAGAATGAATCCCATAGATCTCTGGCGTTTCCTTTCAGGCTCATAAGTAAATTGGTATTGAATCTCCTGTTTCTGGCAGCTGAGAACTTAGGGCCTTCCGTCTCACTTACAGTTCAGGGATGAAAGCAAACCTTGGCATAGATATAGACCCCGGTGAAGGGCCTGGCTGAGGTGCAGTTGTGTTGATTCCTCTGCTCAGCTTTTGCTCTGTGCTCACGTGGCCGAGTGTAATTCAACACTGGCCCCAGAGCCATGTTCCTAATAGAACTGCCTCTCTCTCTTTTCAGTGAAGCGTCTCTGCTCCAAGACTGTTACGAAATGGTGAATGGCTGCCCCTGGGTTATTTCCGTGATTACTTCTAGAGTCATCATTAAGATGATTGACTTTTTAGGGACTCGGTTATTTTGTTTTTTTAGAAATTCATAGTAGATACTATTGACTATATGAAAAGTGGTATTCTTAATGTTATTACATATTTGTGTTAGTAACCATTTTAGTTTTAAATATATAGGAGCTGTTGACTAAGAATATCCGTTAGAGTGGTTTGTAAAGTTTTAACCCGAAAAATGGAGACATACTGGGTGCAGTGGCTTATGCCTGTAATCCCAGTACTTTAGGAGGCCGGGGGCAGGAGGCTTACTTGAGGCCAGGAATTCAAGAATACAGTGAGCTATGATCATGCCACTGTACTCTGTCCTGGGCAACCAAGTGAGACCCTATCATGTTCCTAGTAGAATGAAAAGACAGAAAGTGCAAAGAAGATTATATATTACTCTAATTCCGTGGCTAATTAGAAAATTTTCTTTTTTCTTTCTTTTTTTTTTTTTGGAGATGGAGTTTCACTCTTGTTACCCAGGCTGGAGTGCAATGGCACGATCTCGGCTCACCGCAACCTCCGCCTCCTGGGTTCAGGCAGTTCTCCCACCTCAGCCACTTGAGTAGCTGGGATTACAGGCACGCGCCACCATGCCCAGCTAATTTTTTGTATTTTTAGTAGAGACGGGTTTCACCATGTTGACCAGGATGGTCTCAATCTCTTGACCTTGTGATCCACCCGCCTCGGCCTCCCAAAGTGCTGGGATTACAGGCTTGAGCCACCACGCCCAGCCTGAAAATTTTCAAGCATACAAGAAAAATTCAAAAATAGTAAACCAAACACTATACTTTCTTCTAGATAAATCTTTTGACCTTTTGCATACTTGCTTTTTCTTTCTATATTTTTACTTTTTTTTTTTTTTGCTGTTCCATTTGAATGTAAAGTTGTAGATAGTGTGACACATCACTCCAAAATTCTATTCTTTAGCATGTATGTCTTTCTTTCTTTTTTGTGACAGGATCTCCCTGTGTCACCCAGGCTGGAGTACAGTGGCACAATGTCTGCTTACTGTCACCTCCACCTCCCAGGCTCAAGCAGTTCTCCCATCTTAACCTCCTGAGTAGCTGGGACTATAGGCATGAGCCACGACAGCCAGCTAATTTTTGTATTTTTTGTAGAGACAGAGTTTCGCCATGTTGTCCAGGCTGGTCTTAAAATCCTGGGTTCTAGAGATCCACATGCCTTGGCTTCCCAGAGTGCTGGGATTATGGTCTACTGTGCCCGGCCCTTCTTTCTTTGTGCTTGCCCACCCTCCCTCTCTTCCTTTCCTTTTTTTTCCTTTTAAAATTTAGATTTAGGGGATATATGTGCACATGAGTATATTACATGTTGCTGAGGTTTTGGTTTCTAATGACCCTGTCACCCAAGTAGCAAACATAATACCTGATGAGTCATTTTTCAGCCTCCTCTCACCCCACTTTTAGAAGCCCCAGTGTTTATTGTTTCAATCTTTGTATGTGTGTGTACTCAGTGTTTAACTCCCACTTATAAGTGAGAACATGCAGTATTTCGTTTTCTGTTTCTGTGTTGATTTGCTTAGGATAATGGCTTTCAGCTATAACCACATTGCTTCAAAGGACATGATTTTGTTCTTTTTTATGGCTACATAGTATTCCACTGTGTATATGTACACTTTCTTTGTCCAGTCCACCATTGATGGGCAGCTGGGTTGATTCCATGTCTTTGCTGTTGTGCATAGTAGCATGTATCTTTTTGAAATAAGACCAGTCTCCTACATAACCATTGTCATACCTAAGAAAATTTATAATAATTCCATAATATTATTCAATATTGACTCCATATTCAAATGTCCCCAGTTACCATGAAATGTTTGTTATATTTGTTTCCTCACTAGGCCTTAACCTAGGTTCATATATTACTTTTGGTTGTATGTTTTCTCAGACTGTTTTATCATAGAACTATATTTCTCTTCTTTCCACATGCCTATCCCCCATGCTACTATTTAGGAGAGTGCAGGGTAGTTGTCTTATAAAATGCGTCACATCCTGGTTTTGTCTGATTGTTTCCTCCTGGTTTCCTTTAACTTGTTTCCCCTTCCTCTGTATATCCAGCAACTTAGTCTAAAACAGTGCCATCCGATAGAACTTTCTGAAGTGAAGGAAAAGTTCGGTATCTTCACTGTTTACTATGGCAGCCACTAGCTGCCTTACGTAGCTAGTTAAACTAATTAAGGCTTTCTGGGCACACTGCCTGTGGGATAGTTCTGCTCCACAAGAAGCAGTAAAACAACAACAACAACAAAAACTAACTAATTAAAATTAAATAAATGTAAAATTCAGTTTCTTAGTTATACTAGCCACAGTTCAAGTGCTCAGTAGCTACATGTGTATGATGGTCACCATTTTGAACAGCACAGGTCTAGGGGCTTGATTGGTTGAGGATAAATATTTTTGGCAAGTTGCTGCATTGATGTACTGTGTGCTTCCTGATGCTCATGTCACTTGAGGTTCTAGTACCTGGGCACCTTGGTGAGAGTGTAGTACTGCTCAGTGATTTGCACACCCGTGGAATGGATTGGGAAGGATAGTGATGGTTGATCTTCCCTGAGATTTCCCACTAGAATTCTAAGCAGAGAGGAAATAGTAAGTGAAAAAAATATATATTACACCTCACTGATTATCAGATAAATGCAAATTAAAACAAACTGGCATCTTGCTCTTATTAGATTAGCCAAGATTTTAAAACTAATTCTATGAATGGTGAATGAGACCACACATATTATGACTTTTGATGAAGGAGACCGCACATATTATAACTTTAACGATGTCTGTGCTATCTCGGACCCTATATACCAGTCATTCTAACTACTTTCCATTCCAGGGTACCCCACACACCTGACATAACGCACGTGATTCCCTCCTGCTAGAAACGATGCCTTGTCCTCTTGCCACCTGGAGACGGTTTTCAGCTTAGTCACTACATTTTATCGAAGCTTTCATGACTTTCCATGTTGATATATAAGTGCTTTTTTCACCATCTCCTAATATAAATTTCAGGTGTGTTTTTCCTATATATTTATATTTACTGTGGATATTTTATTTTATTTATTTATTTTTGTTTATTTATTTATTTATTTAGAGACAGAGCTGGTATGATCATAGCTCACTGTAGCCTCGACCTCCTGAGCTCAGGTGATCCTCCCACCTCAGCCTCCTGAGTAGCTGGGACCACAAGTGCATGCCACCACGCCTGGCTAATTTTCTTACATTTTTTGTAGAAATGGGGTTTCACCTTGTTGGCCAAGCTGGTCTTGAACTCCTGGGCTCAAGAGATACACCCACTTTGGCCTCCCAGAGTGCTGGGATTAGAGGCATGAGCCACCATGCCAGCCTAGTGTGGACATTTTAAAAGCAAAAAACGTAGACCAGGAGCGGTGGCTCATGCCTGTAACACCAGCACTTTGGGAGGCCTAAGTGGGTGGATCATGAGGTCAGGAGTTTGAGACCAGCCCAGCCAACATAGTGAAACCCCATCTCCACTAAATATACAAAAATTAGCTGGGTGTGGTGGTGGGCATCTGTAATCCCAGCTACCCAGGAAGCTGAGGCAGGAGAATCGCTTGAACCAGGGAGGCAGAGGTTTCAGTGAGCCGATAGTGAGCCGATAGTGCCACTGCACTCCAGCCCTGGCGACTGCTCTGTCTCAAAAAAAAAAAAAAAGCAGAAAAGTAAAAAGAACAAAATTTAAAATGTTCGTACTCACCACTAGTAACACTTTGATGTATTCCCTTCTGTGTGTGTTTTCGCCATTAACAGCCCTCCTTCTTGACTGCAGGCTTTTCAAGAGTATTTTCAAATATTGGATACAGATACGTTGTCATCTCAGGTTCCCGACTCATAACTGTCACAGCCTTTTGGAGCTACAGTCTTTTGTTATAATGTTGGTGTACTGTAGGCCTCAGGAGCAGGCCTCAGAAAACAGAATTGCTGCCTCTGACTTTCTCCTGCCCTCCTTTCACCTGCCCAAGGCAAGACTCTGATCTTTCTCTGCCTTTCTGATTGTGGGTTACAAGATCCTCATTCCAGAGAGGGTCATGCCCCATATATTGGAGGAGGAAATCCTGCACAGAAAGGCCAAGAATCTGAACAAACAGGCCTTGCTAGGTTTTCCTACTCAGTGGATTAGTATTAGCTCATACCCTTTGTGTTCAGTCAGTTTCAACATGGTTGTCCAATCATGCCTATCCAATGAAGTCTCCATAAAAGGCCTAAGAGGACAGAGTTCAGGGAGCTTCTGGGTAACTAAACACATGGAGGTTCCTAGAGAGCAGCACACCCAAGGAAGGCAGGTTCCCCCAACCTCGCCCTGTGCATCTCTTAATCTATATGGCTTATCATATATATTCTAACATACTGGTAAATGTGAGCTTCCCTGAGTTTTGCGAGCTGCTTTAGCAGTTGAGCCCAAATAGGAGATCTTGGGAACCCCAGCTTGAAACTAGTCAGTCAGAAGTTCCAGAGGCCCGGACTTGTGACTGGTGGAAGGAAGAAGAGTCTTGTGAGACTGAGCCCTCAGCCTGTGGTTTCTGAGGCTATCTCCTGATAGATAGCTTCAGAATTGAAATGGATGGCATCCTGCTGGCATCATAGCTTCAGAATTGAATTGGATGGCACCCTGCTGGTATCCACTGCAGGACTGATTGCTGCTTGGTGTGGGGGAGGAAAACCCCTACACATTTCATTACAGAAGCCTTCTGTGTTGGTTGATTGGTGTGAGAGCAGAGAAAAAAATATGGTTTGAGTTTTCTCCACCTCACAGCTGTCATTTTCTACCATTCCAGTCATTTCTTTTACTGTCCCAGTTCTGTTGTCCTAGAGGAGCCCTGTCTCTCCTCTCTTGCCACAGGCTTGGACACATTGATAAATCTTCTAACTTTCTATGCATTTTGGTTATATCTCACTCCAGCGTTTTCACTTCTGAGTATGTGCTGAGAAGTGCTTACTTATGAGCACAAAGAAGCATTTAGAGGCCGGGCATGGTGGCTCACACCTATGATCCTAGCACTTTGGGAGGCCAAGGTGGGAGGATCATTTGATCACAGGAGTTTGAGACCAGCCTAGGCAACAATAGTAAGACTCTATCTCCATTTAAAAAAAATGTTTTTGTTAAGAAGCATGTACAAGAGTTTCATCACAACTTTATTGGTAATAACAAAAAATTAGAAATAATCTAAGTGTCCACTGACAGGAGAATGGTTGTGTTATTTATGGCACATTCATATTTTGTATTACCATCCAAGAGTTTAAAAATAATGCAGGAAATCTGTGTATCCCAACACAGAGCAACCTCTAAGACGTACAGTTAAATGTTTGTTGAAGATAAGGATCCCATCTAGGTAAAGTAAAATGTACGAAAACGTATCTGTATGTGTTCATACATGTATTAATATATAAAGTGAAATCTGGCAGGGAAAACATTCAACTCTTTAGAGTGATTACCTCTCGGGAAGGAACTGGGACTGAAAGGAAGCTATGAAAACTTTTGTTTTATCTATAGTTTAAAAAAATTTTTCACAACCCCATCACCTTTTCCAGAGTCTGGGCAGAAATATGAAGCAGTTGGGCAGTTGTAAAAGTTAAAGTACTTAAGGATCCAGCCACCTCCTCCCCCAAGAATTCTAAAGGGATCTATTTGAGTTTAGAAAAGTTAAAATTAGAATTGCTGAAATTCTGTTCTATATTGTCTTCTCCTTGGGTACGAGGAAATGAAAGCGAAGACGTCTCTGGGGGCAGATGGCAGAGCTTGAGTTAGGTTTTTGCTTTTGGTGCAAGTTTATTTTCAGCTGGTAAACCTGACCTTGCTATTCTTAGAGTTTTAATTTTTTTAATTTAAATTAAAATGTTTTGTGAGGATAAGATTAATTGGGAAAGAGATGGTTCACATGGAGATCATTGAGACAGTTGACTGTGTTTCCAGAGGCCTGGGTTAATCTTTAATGGGGTAAAAGACACTTTGACTAGAGGCAATCCATGAAGAACCATCAGATGTGTTAATCAGCCTGATAACTAGAGCATATTGCTCTTATATATATTTATGTGACCTCTGTTGGTGGTGCTGACTTTTATATATTGAAAAGCTATTAGTTACCTGTTGCTACCTAACAAAACTTAAAGTAAGGATAATTATTTGTTATCTCATGCTTTCTGTCAGACATGAATTCAGACAAGGTACAGCCATATACCATGTTGTCTGGGGCCTCAGGTGAAAGCGTCAGAGGCTGAGAGCAAAACACTAGGGGGAGAAAAGCTTGAATACCTTTTTCCAGTAGGCTTCCAGGACTCTGCTGGTTTTTCTCCTACATCTGAGTTGTTCTTGCTCATTCCTCCCTCTCTCTCTACCTCTTAACATTGAATGCCTTGGAATTTGGCCCTTTGTCTTTTCATTCTTTGTCTGCTTCTTATTTATTCCTTGGTGATCTCTTCTAATCTGGAGGCTTTAAATACAATAGGTAGATGGTTGGATTAGTAGGTAGGTAGGTAGGTGGATAGATGGATGAGTAATCTATCCCCAACCACTATTCTCCTTAACCTGCCTACTTGGTATTTTCATTTGAATGTTCAATAGCCGTCCGAAACTCAGTATGTGTAAACCTTGATTCTACCCAAACCTGCTTCTCCAGCAGTCTTCCCCATCTCATTAAATGGCAGTCCATCTTTTAAGTTACTTAACCCAAAAACCTAGAAGTCATCCTTGATTTTGTACTTTTCTCATACCTAATATCTAGTTCATCAGCAAATGCTGTTGGCTCTGCCTTCAGAATACGTGTGTCTAGAATCCAACCTCTTCTCACCATCTTTTTTACTATCCCCCAGTCTAAGCCATTGTTACCACTCACCTCAGTTCCTTAGCTACGCCTCCTATACCCTTGCCCTCTTCGTTCTACTACTTTCAACATGGTAGGCAAAATGATCCTGTAAAAACAAACCAACAAACAAAAACAGGTCAGATCTTGGCTTTCTAAGCTGAAGCCCTTAGATTGGTCTATGATCTGGCTCCCCTGGAACCTCAGCTCTCACTCTCCTCTCTTTCTCACTGAGCTCCAGCCATACTGTAGCCTCCTTGCTGCTCTAACATCAGCACTCGTCCCTCTCAGTGCCCTTGCAATTGCTGTTCCCGCTGCCTAAATCGCCATGGTTGGAAATACCGTCTTATATTAAACCTGGAGGAGAGAGACTTCATCCTGTTGCTTTTTTCAATGCTTTATGTAGTAAGTGCCTTTTATTGGTGAAGAAATGCCATGGAACTGAGGATGGGAAATTAAGTTTCAAATAACAGAATGTGTTTATATTAGAAGTAGCAGGTCCAAACATTCACATCTATGCCAGATGAAATACTGTTATTCATCCACTTACCTACCATTCTTGCTCATTCATATCTCTTCCATATGAAACAGTCCTGTCCTTCGGAACAGGCAGGAATTTCTAGGAGACTCTCTAATGCCACTAAAATGTTCATTTCATTTGGCTCCATTTTTGTTGTTCTTTACTACCTTTTGTGATTCAGGGGGAATAAGAGGGCAGTCTGGGATGCCATCTGAATAACTAATTCTGTCAGTTGAGAGACTTGGTAGGGGTCCACATCAGACCCCAAAATAGATACGGTTTTAGTTTCAAAATAAGCCATAAAAACACTCTCAAAAGAGCCAAGGTTTTGGTCCAGGTGTGGTGACTCACACCTGCAATCCCAGCGCTTTGGGAGACTAAGGTGGGAGGATTGGTTGAGATTAGGAGTTCAAGACCAGCCTGGCCAACAGAGAGAGACCTGTCTCTACAAAACAAAGTGAAAAGAGCCAGGCTTTTGAAGTGGGTTTCTAGAGTGGAAAATAAGGCAGTCAAAGAAGGGAAGAGATTGTTTTTAACCAAGATGACCAGAGCTCCTCTATGACATCCTTTAGCAGAGATTTATGAGAACAGAAGAAAGACGATCAGCTATTTATGGCCGTGTGACCACTAAAGCTCTGGGTGTAAAATTGAATGAGGACATCACTGAGAAAATCCTTAAACTTGAGAAGCCTAAGGTAGTTTGCCTGTCATATATGGAGACTGCGATGTTAAGTGGAATTTATTTTTATGGGGTCATAGAATCACATTGTTGAAAGGATGTCAAGAGGTTATCTATCTTAAATCTATACTTTGGTCAAACAGAAACCTATAACTATGCAGGCCTTTAGTTTTTTCTTTTGGATACGTGTTTATAAAAGATATGTCTGTACATGATCTAAATGAGTAAAATTTTTTTGAGACACGATTGTGTGCTGTCTTAAAAAATTTTTTTTTAATGAAATAAATTACCTTTAATGCCATCCAATAGTGAGATGCCACCACTCACTTATTAGAATGTCTAAAATAGAAAATGATGTCATTTTGCAGATTGAGAATAAGAAAGGTAGTGCAGCTTATTGCTGCTTTCAAAGAAACTATTTACTTCTGGTGAGTGAATGCAATAGATGTGATATTAAATGTTTCAGAAAGAACAAGACCACCTTTGTAGTGATATTTGGCAAAGTTGAAATTTTTTGTCATTTCAAACTGAAACTGCCAGTTCTGCCTTTAAAATGAGAGCTAGAAAATTGAGGAGCCTTTCAGGTATATGAGAACCAGAATCACTTAAGACTGCAAAACCAGTTTTTCTTAAGTGTTTGTTCCCCTCCACTCCCTTTTTAAAACTAGGCCTTCATACAGATTTTTTAGATTTTCAGGTAGTCTAAAATGCAGAAGATTTATGTAATACCCCTGTAGTAACTTCAAATTCAAAAAATAATTTAAGGTTCCGTTTAAATAAACTTATCTCCCCTGCAGAAGGTGTTCTGATTAATTTTCCCAGCAGCAGAGATCAGGAGGTTGGTATGTGCATAGGCTTTAAAATCAAAGAAATCTAGGTTCTAATCCTGGAGCTGATACTTAACTGCGTAGTATCGGCAAATTATTTATCACCTCTAGTTATCAGTTTTCTTGTCTGGAGTGTATAAATCATGTTAATACCTGCTTCACAGATAGACATTTAGTAAGAACTCAAATGCTAGGTATTATTATTACTAGAAAATAAGACTAAAAAGGCCTTGAATCACACAGTGACTTGTGACCTGAATCCTCAGGAGTGTCTCCCAAAGCCCTGGATTTTCATCTTCTCTTTTCCCCTCCCATCACCGTATTACTTTTGTCGGGAGGATGCTAGTTAAGTTAATGAACTATATGAATAATTTTAGGTTACTTTATGTAGTTAGGAAAGAAACCACTTTTGGCATTAGGGTTTTAATTAATTTTTTTTTTCTTGAGCAGAGTCTCGCTCTGTCACCCAGGCTGGAGTGCAGTGGTGTAATCTCAGCTTACTGCAGCCTCTGCCTCCTGGGTTCAAGGAATTCTCCTGCTTCCGCCTCCTGAGTAGCTGGGACTACAGGCGCGTGCTGCCACGCCTGGCTAGTTTTTTGTGTTTTTAGTAGAGATGGGGTTTCACCATGTTGGCCAGGATGTTTTCAATCTCCTGACCTCATGATTCACCTGCCTCAACCTCCCAAAGTGTTGGGATTTCAGGCGTGAGCCACAGCACCTGCCCCCACCCCCGCCCTTTTTTTTTTTTGAGACACAGTCTTACTCTGTCAGTGAAGCTGGAATACAGTGGCAAGATCCCAGTTCACTGCAGCACCCACTTCCCAGGTTCAAGTGATTCTCCCTCAGCTCCTGCAAGTAGCTGGGATACAGGCACAAGCCCCCACGCCTAGCTAATTTTTATATTTTTATAGAAACAGGGTTTCACCATGTTGGTCAGGCTGGTCTCAAACTCCTGGCCTCAAGTGATCCATTCACCTTGGCCTCCCAAAGTGCTGGGATTATAGGCATGAGCCACTGTGCCCAGCCAGGGTTTATTATTATTATTTTTTTAATGCTCACATATTTTAATTGGAAAAAAAAAAAAAAAAAAAAACAGTCGCTTGAAACCAGGGAGGCGGAGGTTGCAGTGAACCGAGATCATGCCACTCCACTCCAGCCTGGGCAACAGAGTGAGACTCAGTCTCAAAAAAAAAAAGTTTTCCTCTAAGCACCACTTTCACTGCCTCCCACAAATTGATGTTATATTTTTATTTTTATTCAAATATTTTCTCGAGATTTCTGCTTTCATATGTTATTTAGAAGTGTGTTTGATCTCCAGATATTGGGGGATTTTCCTATTTCAGTTATTGAGTTTTTTGCTTTTTTTTTTTTTGGAGATAGGGTCTCATTATGTTGCCCAGCCTGGTCTTGAACTCCTGAACTCAGGCGATCCTCCCGTCCTGGCCTCCCAAAATGCTAGGATTATAGGCGTGAACCACCATGCCCAGCCAAGTTAATTGACTTTTTAACTCCATTGTTGTCCGAGAGCATACATTTTTGTGATTACTGTTTTTTTTTAATTTGTTAAGGTGTGTCTTGTAGTTCAGAATGTGGTCTCTCTTGTTGAAGTCCATGTGAGCTTGAGAATAATGTGTATTCTGCTGTTGTTGGACGAAATGGACTATAGAGGTCACAGATATACATTTGATTTTCTGCCCTCTAGATCTGCCTCTTTCTGATAGGGGCTTATTGAAGTCCCCAGCAGTAATAATGGATTCATCTGCTTCTCCTTGCAGTTCTATCCATTTTTGCCTCATGTATTTTGATGTTCTATTGTTAGGCATATACACATTAAGGATTATCATGTCATCTTGTAGAACTGACCCCTTTATCATTATATAATATTTCTCTATTCCTGGTAACTTTCCGTGCTCTGAAGTCTGCTTTGTCTGAGATTAATGTAGTTACTCCTGCTTTCATATGATTAGTGTTAGCATGGTATGTATCACTCTCCATCCCTTTACTTTTAAGGTATGTATTTTTATACTTAAAGTGGGTTTCTTATAGACAACATATTAGATGACTCTACTGTGATGTACTCTGACAGGTCATTCTCCTTTTTTTTTTTTTTGAGAGAACATCTCACTCTGTCTCCCTCCCAGGCTGGAGTGCAGTGGTGCAATCAGTGCTTATTGCATCCTTGACCTCCCAGGCTCAAGCAGTCCTCCCACCTCAGCTTCTTGAGTAACTGTAATTACATGTAGGCACACATCACTATGCCCAGCTAATTATTTATTTCTTGCCGAGACAGGGTCTCTCTGTGTTTCCCAGGCTGATCTGGAACTTCCAGGCTCAAGCGATCTTCCTACCTCCCCTCCCAAAGTGCTGGGATTACTGGTGTGAGCCACCACACCTGGCCTTTGTTTTTTGTTGTTGTTGTTTTTTTATCTTTGCTTTTCGAGTTGGAGTTTTTCTCTGTCTCCCAGGCTGAAATGCAGTGGCACAATCTCAGCTTCCGGCAACCTCAGCCTCCTGAGTAGCTGGAGTTACAGGCATGTGCCACCCACCATGCCCAGCTAATTTTTGTATTTTTAGTGGAGATGGGTTTTTGCCATGTTGGCCAGGCTGGTCTCAAACTCCTGACGTCAAGTGATCCATCCACCTCAGCCTCCCAAAGTGCTGGGATTACAGGCGTGAGCCACTGCGCCCAACCCTATCTTTTAATTGATGTATTTAGACTATTGATGTTTAAAGTGATTGTTGATGTAGTTGGATTAATATCCGCCATGTTTGGTAGCTTTCTGTCCATTGCTCTTTGTTCTCTGTTTCTGTTCTTGTCTTCCATTCCTTCTTGGCCTTTTGTGGTTTTAATTGAGCATCTTATTTTTCTCTTTCTTTTATTCTTATCCTACTTTCATTTTAATGAGTTCCTTGGAGGAAGAGGTGGGATATGTAATCTACCACTACATTTTTTGTTAAAATTTTTAGAAGTCCCCTCACTCTTGCCCAGACTGGAGAACAGTGGTGTAGTCATAGCTCACTTGCAAGCTCAAACTCCTGGGCTCAAGCAGTTCTCCCACCTCAGCATCCTGAGTGGCTAAGACTGCAGGCATGCCACCATGCCTGGCTAATTTTTTAATTTTTGTAGAGATGGGGTCTCGCTTTGTTGCCCTGGCTGGTCTCAAACTCCTGGCTTTTAAGCCATCCTCTTGCCTCGACCTCCAAAAGTGCTGGCATTACAAGCATGAGCTACCGTACCTGGCCTCAACTTTTTTTAAGTTTTAGAATTATTATTATTTTTGTTATCGTTATTTTTAGAGACTTGGTCTTGATATGTTGCCCAGGCTGGAACTCCTGGACTTATGCAGTCCTCCTACCCAGCCTCCTAAGTAGCTGGGATTACAGATACGTAACTCCACACCCAGCATTTCAGAATTATATCTCTTATCATTTTCTTTTGAAAGTAATGATATAAATGTTTTTGCTTCTCTCAGATACTACACAGGAGTGTCTTGCTTTTAATAGACTCCTTCACACATTGCACATAGGCCACATTGTAAATTTACTCATTTCTGTGTATGATTTATCTCAAAAGCAAGCAGTGTGTAAAAAAGAATGGCTCCTTAGTCAAGGAACTGGTATTTTTAATTGACTAGGAGAGCCTAATTTAAAGATATTTTACTGTTAGCATACTTTCAGTGCAAATAACTACCCTAAATTACTTTTTAACTGCTTTTTAAAAACTGGAATTAAAGATATCTTTGTACTCAGTCTAGTGGTCTGTGTTATAACACATATTGAATGCTACCCATTGATGAATAGTAAGTTCAGTGGCTAAGTGTACAAATTAGAATGTGCCCTGTTAGAGAATATAGTACTGTATTTGAGCTGGTTTGTGTTGGAACCCTGAATAGAGGCGGAATTACTGGGATAGGAGCCAGTCGCCTTCTGAGAAATGAACTGAGTCCAGAAGAGTCTTCCAAAACAGTTGTGTTTGCTTTCCCATCCAGCTCCACATTCCAGGAAAGGATTTTTAGTCATTAGGAAGTATATCCACAGCTTACTTTCCATTTACTTCAATATAATTAACAGTGGCTTCAGCAAATACTAAATGCAACCCTTGCCTCTGGAGATTCCACAATCATTAAACTACCAACAGCTGCTGGATTTAGACAAATCTAACTTATCCATCTGAGTTGCCACTTAACAGCTTTCTCTTAATTCCATGTACTTGCAAATGCAGGCTGCCTATCACAAAGCTTGCTACACAGAAGTAAATTTAAGGACTGCCAAGACAGTATAGTAGGCATGAACGTATGTGCACCTAGTAAACCTTCATCAATATAAAGTAAAAATTGTCAGAGCAATGGGGGAAAGTCGACAACTCAATAGCCATGTTAAAGACTTCAAAGCATCTCATTTTGTGCTTGATAGTCCCTATGAAGAACAATAAAATCTCATTTAGAAAGCAATTGAAAAAGTGGCAGACAAAACTTCCTTAACAAGTTTGAGCACATAGCTATGTTGAGAGATAACCTTCCACCCAACAAAGAATATGTAATTTTTCAAGCATAGATGGAAGAATTAGAAAAACATAACCATATGTTAAGTTGTAAAGGAATTACTAACATTCCACAGCATCAGTATTATAGACTATATATACTCTGATAGAATGCAGTAAAATCAGAAATCAACAACAGAGCCAGTGTGAAAGAGAGAGAAACATAGGTTTGGAAACAAATGTTCTAAGTAATCCATGAGTTAAAGCACAAATCATCATAGAAGTAAGTAAATAGAGCTGAAGAACTACGAAAGCACTCTACTTCATGATTTATGGGATACAGCTCAGTCAGTTCTTTGACACTTAGATGTTTATATTAGAAACTTAAACAGACATTAAATAAATTAAGCAGTCAACCCAAGAAGCTGGAAAAAGCAAGAGTAAGCCCAAAGGAAGTAAAGGGATAGAAATAACATGGAAAGGGGTAGAAATTAATAGAAAAATGGAAATGACAAACAAAACCAAAAGTGGGTTATTTTTGTCTAATAAAATAAACTGGCAAGATCAATACAATAAATAAGAAAGAAGACACAAATGAACAAAAAAGGGAAATAACCACAGATTTATAATAGAGGTTTTTAAATTATAAGAATGTTACAGGAACGATCCAAGATGGCCGATCGCTAACATCTTGGGATTGCAGCTCCCAGTGAAACCTCAGAGAATGAGAGGACGCCACACTTTCAGACAAATTTTGGTCACTCACGGAGCAGAAGATTCCCAGTGGAGGAGCTCCACGGGTTGCCAGCGCGACTCTTGTGGCCGGCGCAGCAGTTTCGCCAGCACCTCAGTGCGGCAGCTCTCAGTGCAGAGTAAACGGGACTGGTTCCCCTTCTGACCGAGGTTTGGAGGAGCACACGGGTTGCCAGCGCTACTCTTGTGGCTGGCGCAGTGGGTGTGCCGGCATTTCGGCGCGGCAGCTCTTGGGGCAGAGTAAACGGGACTGGTTCCCCTTCTGACCGAGGGTTGGAGCTCCAGGAAGGCAGAGTCGCCTATTACGGATTCAAGAAGGAAGCCAGACTGGAGATTCCTGGGCAGAAAAGCACCATCAGTCTTAACGCCGCTGTTTTGGGCAGCACAGTGGGTTGCTCATATTTCGGCCCTGGAAATTAACGACTTGGACGTCCACTCAGAGACCTAATTTGAAAGTTGGTAATTACAAAGACGACAGGTGGATAAATTTACAATGATGGGAAGAAACCAGCATAAAAAGGCTGAGAATGCCTCTCCCTCCAAAGAGGATCACAGTTCCTCATCAACAAGGGAAAAAGACTTGATGGAGAACGAGCGCATCCCAATAACAGAATCAGGCTTCAGAACATGGATAATAAGAAACTTCTGTGAGTTAAAAGAACATGTTGTAGCCCAATGTAAAGAAACTAAGAACTTTGAAAAAAGGTTTGACGAAATCCTAATGAGAATAGACAACTTAGAGAGGAATATAAGTGAATTAATGGAACTGAAGAATACAATGCAGGAACTCCGAGAAGTATGCACAGGTTTAAACACTCGAATTGTTCAAGCAGAAGAAAGGATATCAGAGGTCGAGGTCCAACTTAATGAAATAAAACGAGAAGACATGATTAGAGAAAAAAGGATAAAAAGGAATGAGCAAAGTCTCCAAGAAACCTGGGACTATGTGAAAAGACCAAATTTACGTTTGATAGGTGTACCTGAATGCGACCTGAGCTGGAAAATATTCTTCAGGATATTATTCAGGAAAATTTTCCTAAACTAGCAAAGCAGGTCAATATTCAACCCCAGGTAATACAGAGAACACCACAGAGATATTCCTCAAGAAGAGCAACCCCAAGGCACATAATCGTTAGATTCACCAGGGTTGAAACAAAGGAGAAAACACTAAGGGCAACCAGAGAGAAAGGTCAGGTTAATTACAAAGGGAAGCCTATCAGACTTACAGCAGATCTCTCAGCAGAAACTCTACAAGCCAGAAGAGGTTGGGGGCCAATATTCAACATCCTTAAAGAACAGAACTTTCAGCCCAGAATTTCATATCCAGCCAAACTAAGCTTCACAACTGAAGGAAAAATAAAATCTTTTATGAACAAGCAAAAACTCAGAGATTTTATTACCACCAGGCCTGCTTTACAAGAGCTTCTGAAAGAAGCATTACACATAGAAAGAAACAACCAGTATTAACCTTTCTAAAAATACACCAAAAAGTAAAGAGCATCAACATAAAGAGAAGAATTTACATCAACGAATGGCTAAAACAGCCAGTTAACATCAAAAGGCAGTAATCCTAAATTTAAATCGACTAAATTCCCCAATCAAAAGATACAGCCAAAACCCAACAATCCAGACCCATTTCACACGCAAGGATACACAAAGACTCAAAACAAAGGGATGGAGGAGAAAGATTTACCAACCAAATGGAGAGCAAAAATAAACAAATAAATAAAAAGCAGGAGTTGCAATTCTCATATCTGATAAAATAGATTTTAAAGCAACAAAGACATAGTGGTAAAAGGATCGATGCAACAACAAGAGCTAACGATCCTAACACCCAGATACATAGAGACTTAGACTCAATGAGACAGAAATTTAATAAGGATATCAAGGACTCGAACTCAGATCCGGAACAAGTAAACTTAATAAATATTTATAGAGCTCTCCACTTTAAATACACAAAATATACATTCTTGTCAATACCACATCACACCTACTCATAGGTTTAAATGAAACATTGATTGACCATTATTAATACCCATTTTTTTTAGAATAAAGCAACATTTCTGTTCTCTCTCCCTCTTTTTCTTTCTCTTTATTCCTCTTCTTCACTCCTTTTTTTTTCTTTCCTTCTTTCAAAAAAAGAAAAAAAAAAGAAATCAACTTGTAGACCTCTATATCCAGTTCGGCAATGTCTCTCATTGCTTGATTTCCTTCCTTCCCTTCTCTCCCTCCCTCCCTTCCTTCCTCCCTCCCTTCCTCCTTTCCAAAAAAAAAAAAAAAAAAGAATGTTACAAAGAGCTACAAACAGAAAGACTTGAAAACTTTCGTAGAAAATTTCCAGAAAGTCCTACCCAAATTTACTTTTCAAAAAATTTAGACTGGGAACAGTGGCTCATGCCTATAATCCCAGCACTTTGGGAGGTGAAAGCAGGAGGATCACTCAAGCCCGGGAGTTCAAGACCAGCGTGGGCAATATAGTAAGACCTCATCTCTACAAAAAAATTTTGTAATTAGCTGGGCATGATGGCGCACCTATTGTCCCAGCTACTCAAGAAGCTGAGGTAGGAGGATCACTTTAGCCTGGTTGGTCAAGGCTGCAGTGAGCCATGATCTGTGCCACTGCACTCCAGACTGGGAGACAGAATGAGAGCCTTTCTCAAAAAAGAAAGAAAAAAGAAGAAAAAGTTGAAAATATATATGTAGATTATTAGTCCATAAGGAAATTATGTGGTAATCACCTTCCTTCCTACCAAAAAAAATACCAAGATCAGACCAGATTAATTTTACTAAAATATTTATATATGTATATTCTTGAAAACTGTCCAGAGGATAGCTGCATACCTTTTGTAAGACTGATAAGATCTTGATTAATGATTAGCAACCCCCCTCTTTTTTTTTTTTTTTTAAGATACGGGTTATCACTGTGTTGCTCAGGCTGGTCTGAAACTCCTGGGCTCACACAGTCTTTCCACCTTGGCCTCCCAAAGTGATAGGATTACAGATATGAGCCACCATGCCCAGCAATAACAGACTGACTTTTTTTTTTTTGAGACGGAGTTTCTCTCTTGTCACCCAGGCTGGAGTGCAATGGTGTGATCTCAGTTCACTGTGACCTCTGCCTCTCAGGTTCAAGCGGTTCTCCTGCCTCAGCCTCCTGAGTAGCTGGAATTACAGGCATGTGCCACCATACCCGGCTAATTTTGTATTTTTAGTAGAAATGGGTCTTCACCATGTTGGCCAGGCTGGTCTTGAACTCCTGACCTCCGGTGATCCCCCCGTCTCGGCTTCCCAAAGCGCTGCTATTACAGGCATGAGCCACCATGGCTGGCCTCGTAGCAGACTTTCTATAAGGGGCCAAATAGTAAATGTTTTAGACTTTAGAATTCATATGATATCTGTCATAGCCACTCAGCTCTCTTGTTGTAATATGAAAGCAGCCATAGACAATACTTAAACGAATGACATAGCTGTGTTCCAGTCAAACTGTATTTACAAAAACTGATGACAGGATGGATTTGGCCTGCACGCTGTAGTTTGCTGACCTCTATCTTAGATAATTAAAACTAGAAAAGAACAGTAAATTCTCATTTATGAATGAGAATTTGCACAAATTCTAAATGCAAAATTATTAAAACCCAACACCCATTTATTATAAAAACTGTTGGCAAGCTGAAAATAAACTTCCTTAACCTGATAGAGTGTCTAATAAAACCAATAGCAAACATCGTACTTTTGAAATGTTCAAAGCATTCCCATGACAGATAAGAATAAGACATTTATGCTTGCTGTCATACTAACATTTAATATTGAACTGCGATCCTAGCCACTGCAATTAAGAGAAGAAAAATAAGTACAAATTGTAGAGATTCCAAAGAAAATTGTCATTAATTACAGAAGGTGTGATTACTAACTTATAAAACAAAAGAAAAACAACAGATACTGGTATTAATAGAACTAGTGAGCACATTTAGAAAGATTGCAGGAGATAAGATTGATATGTAAGAATACCAGCTTGGGCAACATAATAACTCCAATTCTACAAAAATAAAAATTGCCTGGTATGGTGGCACGAATCTGTAGTCCCAGCTACTCAGGAGGCTGAAGAGGGAGGATCACTTGAACCCAGAAAGTCAAGGCTGCAGTAAGCTGTGTATACCACCACTGCCAGAATATCTGGGGTGGGGGTGGGGGACAAAAAAACAGATTTTTGGCATGAATGGATAAAGGTACAAAAACGACTTAGAAGTTTTTGTTGAAGAAGAGCAGAGAAGCGTATTTCAAGTATTAAGATAAAGTTGTATTAATCATATGCACATGTTATTAGTACATAAATTAACAACTAAATTGGTAAAACAGTAATATCTATGACTATTCTGGGAGTCTCTAGACCATTGGCTATTTGGAAATAAATTACAGATGGATCATACAATAAAACACTCAGGTAATTTGAAAAGATACATGACTCTAATTTTATGCCATAGGAATAGGGATGTGTTTCTTAAACAAGATAACTAACACAAAAAGGTAAAGATAAGTAAAATAAACCATGTCTAATAACATATGCTCAGCAAAAACATTGAAAACAAGGGTAAAAGACAAGTGCCAGATTGGGAAAAAATGTTTACCACGGAGCATAAGTATCAAGAAGGAGGCTGAAGTGGGAGAATCTCTTGAACCCAGGAGTTTGAGACCAGCCTGGGCAACATTTCAGAACCCCATGTCTACCTAAAAAATAAAAAATGAACCTAAAATGCAATTAAATATATATATATATAAAATTAAAAAATGAAGCCAGTTGTGGTGGCATATGCCTACAGTCCCAGCTACTCAGGAGGCTGAGGCAGGAGGATTGCTTGAGCCCGGGAGGTCAAGGCTGCAGTGAGCTGTGATTGAACCACTGTACTCCAGCCTGGGCTACAGAGCGAGACTGGTCTCAAAAAAAAGATAAAAAGAACTGCAGATCCGTTATGATGGTCACTTGTTAAATAACAATATGAACATATAACTTCCCAAAGAGGAAACCTGAATGTTCATTGAAGTAGGAAAAAGTAAACAATTTCAGTTAAAATATAATGTAATACAATTTCACATGCATTATATTGACCCAAAAGTGGGGAGGGAAAATGTCTAACAACTAATACCAAGTATTAAATAGGAACAAAGAGTGATGACAACTTGCACACTGCCTATGTACTTTGGAGAGTATATCAGTTTGCTGTATAACAAACTATTCTAAAATGCAGTGACTTAAAATAGTAATTATTACTACTTATAAGCCAAGGTCAACTTCTGATGTCAGCTGGACTATTCAGATGTCTGCAGCCAGCTCTGAATTGAGTAGGCAACTCTGCTGATCTTGGCTATGCACTCTTACAATTTGGAGGTTAGCTGGCTGTAGGCCACTCAGCCTAGACAGCTGTGGTCTTTCATCCTTTAGGAGCCTAAGCTCAGGCTTATTCAAATGTCAATGGCAGAGTTCCAGGAGGAAAAGTGAAAACTACAAGGCCTCTTGAGGCCTAGGCTTGGACCTGTACACCATTCTCCTACATTCTGTTGGCCAAAGCAAGACACAAGGCAAGCCTAGATATAGGGATGGGTAAGTAGATTCTATCCCTTGATAGGAAGAACTGCAGAATCACATATTAAAGGCTATGGATGTAGGGAGAGGTGGAAAATGGTCACCATATCTGCAGTTGATCTACCAAAATAGAGCAACTTGATAATATCTGGAAGTACTTAACCTCTGTGACTGAGAAATTTGACTTTTAGTATAAATCTTAAAGAAACTCTGTCACCTGGTAACAAGGAGATAGATTAGATCCACAAGAGGGTTTTTGTGGCATTTTTAGTAATAGCAGAACTAAACTGACAAGCGAATGGATTAATTATGGTAAATTCCTAAAATAGATAACTGTTCAACAACTAAAATGAATTTTCTAGAACTACATATGTCAGTATAGCTAAAATTCTGAAACATACTACTGAGGGGAAAAGTTATAGAAGGTATAATACTTTTTTAAATTCAGTAGAGAAACTTGCAGGAAATACTGTTAATAGTGGTTACATACCCAAGTAGTAAAAGTATAAAAACATGCAGGAACCAATTTCAGGTGAGTAGTTGTCTCTTGCAGGGGGTGAGGAATACAGTTCTTGTTCTTCCTCAGAGAGCTGCCTTTTAAATCGGGAAGAAGCAGCAAGAACCTTTCAGCTACAAATAACAGAACACCTGATTAAAAGTGGCTTCAGCACCCTTGGTTATGTAAGAAACATGAAAGGCCCAGAGGTTGGCCATTATTACCTCATTGCTTCAGTAGCTCCACAGCATCAGGGCGCCAGGTCAGCTTCTCACCAGATTTCTTTGGCCTTCCCCTTATGAGCAGATGACGGTAGCAGCTCCAGCTTTCACATCCCCACTTGACAAGGAAGTATAGGGGGGTTTTTGTGCAGTCTTTTTATCATGGTGGGAAATCTTTTCCAGAAGTCCCCAAGAGGCAGCCTCTAAGAAGCTGTTGAACATGCAGCACCCCTGAACCAGTCCCTGTAGAGGGGAGCAGAATTTCCTATGCCTTGCTTAGGCATGCCATCTCAAAGTACACCACAGCCCCCACCTGGACAGAATCTGGGTCTCCCTGATAGCCACAAGGGAAGGGAAATACCTATGGGCTGGGCAGACATCAGTGTCAGTCAGAATGTCCACTGTAGAGTGAAAAGCTGGTTTCAGAAGATGATGGTCCACTTTGTGCCCATCCAAACCAAACAAGAAAGCCAGGATTCCTGTGGTAGATCATTTTGGGCACATGTTTGAAGAACCATCACCCACATTAGTGCCTCTGCATACGCTTTTGTACCTACACAGGGAGACTGCCACAGGGAAAGATGGGATCTAGCCCTTTCTGGAGAAATACCTCAATCCCAGTAGAACACCTCAAAGGAAAAAGAGACACTTGTGTTTTTTTCTCTTAAAAAAGCAAGGCCAGGCAGGTGGCTCACAACCATAATCCCAGCACTTTGGGAGACCAAGGTGGGAGGATCACTTGAGGCTCAGGATTTCAAGACCAGCCTGGACAACATAGTAAAACCCCTTCTCTGAAAAAAAAATTTTTTTTTATGAGACGTAGTCTTGCTGTGTTACCCAGGCTGGAGTGCAGTGGTGCAATCTCAATCCACTGCCATCTCCACTTCCCAGGTTCAAGTGATTCTCCTGCCTCAGCCACCTGAGTAGTTGGGATTATAGGCATCTATCACACCCAGCTAATTTTTGTGTTTTTAGTAAACATGGGGTTTTGCCATGTTGGCCAGGCTGGTCTCAAACTCCTGACCTCAGGTGATCCACCTGCCTCGGCCTCCCAAAGTGCTGGGATTACAGGCGTGAGTCACCACACCTGTCCTAAAAATATATATATAAGAAATTACCCGGTTATGGTGGCACATGCCTGTAGTCCCAGTTACTTGGAAGACTAAGACAGGATTGCTTGAGCCCGGAATTCAAGGCTGCAGTGAGCTATGACCACGCACATTAGCCTGGGCAACGGAGCGACCCTGTCTCTTAAAAAAAAGAAGGCAGTTGTTCAGATTACCATTGTTAACTAGGCCTAAAGTATAAAACAAAGACAAGGGCAAAAGAATTTTCTCTACTAAGATAGACTTTAAATAAAGACTTCCTCTCTAGATTAGCGGCTTTTGACATATAGATTGGAATTGTAACTGCTTTCATATAATTTTGTGAAAGACCGATCCAACCAGCATCCTGACAGGACCAAATTTACATATACCCGTGAATTCAATCTTATACCCAAATGTGTGAGCCAGATATCTGTCAGATGTGGCCCTGACACATATCCCAACCTGCATGCAGGAATCATGTGACAGATAAAAATAACCCACTCTCAGATTGCTTGTGGCCGCATTTGAGAAAAGTCTAGGAGATGAAAGTTGGACTCTTGAGTCTGGGAAAACTGTGAAAAAATAAGATAGTTAAGGTAAATTCTGTCTGGGAAAACCTTTGCCTGCAAGAAATTTTTCTTTTTGTCAGCACTATGACTTTAAAGAACTGAAATCCTTTTACTAAAGGGGGGACCTCTTCCTGAGAAAAATGCTCAATTCCAATTTTTAAAACTGTAAATATCACTTTAAATAGAATTCTGCTAATTAGATCCCATAAATTTTATGAAAGAAAGGCTAAGGGACAAATAAAAATATTATTAGCTGGGTATGGTGGCATGCACATGTAATCCCAGCTACTCAGGAGGCTGAGGCAGGAGAATTGCTTGATCCCAGGAGTTTGAGGCCGGTTTGGGCAACATAGACATCATCTCTTTAAATAAACAACATCATTAGTATCTATATTTTATAAGTTGGCGGACTAATTAGAAGTGAAAAATACCCCTGAAATGTTGGTGTACAAATGGCATTATTTAATTTACACTAGATTTTACACATTTGTATCTATTTTAAATAGGTACTTTTAAATTTTTCTTAACTGCATCAAGCAGAGTGAATCATAGATATATGTTAGTATCAAATGCAGAGGTTACTGTTATTTTTATTTTTATTTTATTTATTTTCTTAAATAGAGATGGGGTTTTTCCACGTTGATCAGGCTGGTTCAGACTCGCAACCTCAGGTGATCCACCCATCTTAGCCTCACAAAGTGCTGGGATTACAGGCTTGAGCCACTGCACCCAGCTAGAGGTTACTATTATTAAATAAAAGTTTTGTTTTTTGAAGTTACTTTGTTTTGTTTTTTTTTTTTGAGACACAGTTTCTCTGTTACCCAGGCTGGAGTGCAGTGGTGTGATTGTGGCTCACTGCAGCTCTGACTTCTGGGCTTAGGTGATCCTCCCACTTCAGCCTCCTGAGTAGCTGGGACTACAGGTATATGCCACCATGCCTGGCTAATTTTTTGTATTTTGTAGAGATGGGGTTTCACCATATTGCCCAGGCTGGTCTCGTACTCATGAGCTCAGGCAGTTCACCTGCCTTGGCCTCTCAAAGTGCTGGGATTATAAGCAATGAGTCACTATGCCCAGCCACAGAAAAGTTTTCAATGAATTCTATTGAGTTGTCATAACATTAAATTGAGGTATACCCTAAAAGTTTGGAGATTGTTTTATAAACTTTTAGTTTCTTTAAGAAAAAAACAATAGGATAGTAGCTGCTAAAGAGAATGCTCTCTCTCCTTTGTGGAGGAGAAAGGTGAATGAGGCCTCTTAAATCTTTTCTCACATTTGTCCCCCAAGGCCTTCATCTGCCCCAACAGCTCTCCTCCCAGACCCTTAGTGGAGCCTTCTGGCAGGAGCACAGGTGATGTGTCTCAGGAGATGAGCGGAGTGTGTTCAGGCTGCCTGGGATCAGAGTACGGAACTGGCTTTCCAACCCAGGCTGGCCGAACAGCTTGTTTCACTTGTTCAGGCAGCTTCATTAGTTAATTCATGAAGTATACCCTAGCTAGTTTTAGCTGGCTATGGAAGGGAAGTTATTTCTAAAATTGTAGAGAGACAACTTTGTTTTCTTACTTAAGAAATGTCTTACTTAGAGGCCGGGCGCGGTGGCTCAAGCCTATAATCCCAGCACTTTGGGAGGCCGAGGCGGGTGGATCACGAGGTCAAGAGATTGAGACCATCCTGGTCAACATGGTGAAACCCTGTCTCTATTAAAAATACAAAAATTAGCTGGGCATGGTGGCCCATGCCTGTAGTCCCAGCTACTTGGGAGGCTGAGGCAGGAGAATTGCTTGAACCCAGGAGGCAGAGGTTGCGGTGAGCCGAGATTGTGCCATTGCACTCCAGTCTGGGTAACAACAGTGACACTCCGTCTCAAAAAAAAGAAATGTCTTACTTAGACATTTCCATTCAAGAAGACCAAAGCCACGTGGGATGGATATAAAATAGTAAAGAAAGCCAACATGTTGGCAAGAGAAATGAACAGAGTTCCTTGACAGATAATTAGCAAAAATTAATTTCAAAATATGTCATCCAGGCCTGGCCCAGTGGCTCACACCTGTTATCCCAGTACTTTGAGAAGCCACAGTGGGCAGATTACTTGAGGCTAGGAGTTCAAGACTAGCCTGGGCAACACAACAAGATCTCGTCTCTACCAAAAAAGAATTTAATTAGCTTGGTGTGTTGGCATGCACCTATAGTCCCAGTTGCTTGAGACTGTGAGGTGGTCGGATCACTTGAGGTCAGGAGTTCAAGACCAGCCTGGCCAACATGATGAAACCCCATCTCTACCAAAAATACAAAAATTAGCTGGGCTTGGTGGTGCATACTTGTAGTCCCAGCTACTTGGGAGGCTGAGGTGGTAGAATTGCTTGAACCTGAGAGGCAGAGGTTGCAGTAAGCCGAGACCGTGCCACTGCACTCCAGCCTGGGTAACAGAGTGAGACTCTGTCTCAGAAGAGGAAAAGAAAGAGAAAAAAAAAAGTATATATTAAAAAGATCTAGGCTGGGTGCGGTGGCTCACACCTATAATCCCAGCACTTTGAGAGGCCGAGGCGGGCAGATCATGAGGTCAGGAGTTCAATACCAGCCTGGCCAACATAGTGAAACCCCGTCTCTACTAAAAATACAAAAAAAATCAGCTGGGTGTAGCTGGGACTACAGGCGCCGGCTGTAGGGTGGCTGAGGTAGGAGAATCGCTTGAACCCAGAAGGTAGAGGTTGCAGTGAGCCGAGATCGTGCTACTGCACTCCAGCCTGGGTGACAAAAAACTATCACTGAAGTTGTCCCTCTCCCTGCCATTTGTTGAATCAATGAGTAAATGAATTAAGTAATCTATAGATGTATGTATGTATGTAGGCATGTGTGTATGTATTTAGAGACATGCTCTGGCTCTTTTGCCCAGGCTGGAGTGCAGTGGTGTGATCTCAGCTCACTGCAACCTCCACCTCCCGGACCCAAGCAACCCTACCACCTCAGCCTGCCAAGTAGCTGGGACTGCAGGCGTGCACCATCACACCCAGCTAATTTTTGTATTTTTTGTAGAGATAGAGTTTCACCATGTTGCCCAAGCTGGTCTTGAATTCCTGAACTCAAGTGATCAGCTTCCCAAAGTGCTAAGATGACAGGTGTGAGCCACAGTACCTGACCGATTGATTGAGACATGGTCTCATTTTGTCACCCAGGCTGGAGTGCAGTGGTGCAGTCATAGCTCATTGCAACCTTGAACTCCTGGATTCAGTGATTGTCTCACATCAGCGTCCCCAGTAGCTGGGACTATAGGTGCATGCCACCGTGACTGGCTAATTTTTATTTATTTATTTATTTTCATTGCATTTTAGGTTTGGGGGTACATGCGAAGAACATGCAAGATTGTTGCATAGGTACACACGTGGCAGTGTGATTTGCTGCCTTCCTCCCTGTCACCTATATCTGGCATTTCTCCCCATGCTATCTCTCCCCAACTCCCCACCCCACTCTGTCCCTCCCCTATTTCCCCCCGAACAGACCCCAGTGTGTGATGCTCCCCTCCCTGTGTCCATGTGTTCTCATTGTTCAACACCCACCTATAAGTGAGAACATGCAGTGTTTGATTTTCCGTTCTTGTGTCAGTTTGCTGAGAATGTTGGTTTCCAGGTTCATCCATGTCCCTACAAAGGACACGAACTCATTGTTTTTGATGGCTGCGTAATATTCCATGGTGTATATATGCCACATTTTCCCTGTCCAGTCTATCATTGATGGGCACTTGGGTTGGTTCCAGGTCTTTGCTCTTACAAACAATGCTGCAGTGAACATTCATGTGCATGTGTTCTTATAGTAGAATGATTTGTAATCCTTTGGATATATACCCAGTAATGTGATTGCTGGGTCAAATGGAATTTCTATTTCTAGGTCCTTGAGGAATCACCACACTGTCTTCCACAATGGTTGAACTAATTTACACTCCCACCAACAGTGTAAAAGTATTCCTATTTCTCCACATCTTCTCCAGCATCTGTTGTCTCCAGATTTCTTAATGATCGCCATTCTAACTGGCGTGAGATGATATCTCAATGTAGTTTTGATTTGTATTTCTCTAATGACAGTGATGATGAGCATTTTTCCATATG